CTTTGAAGTTGATGATTGATAACAAGTCTGCAATCAATCTTGCCAAGAATCCAGTACTACATAGGAGAAGCAAGCATATTGAGACAAAATATCATTTTCTCAGAAGTCAAGTCTAGAACGGAGTACTAGAAATTGTGCACTGTAGCACGCAGAAGCAACTAGCAGATATTATGGCAAAGACATTCAAGACAGATTAATTTCTTCGCTTAAGGGATGAAATTGGTGTAGTTAGTTTCTAATTGTTTTAGATAACTTAGTTATTAAGTCTATTCTATTAGAGCTTATGTGACATTCTTTTTTTACGTGTATAAATAAAATAGTTGTAAATGTCATAAATACAACAACATTATTTCTCTTGCAACTTTTACCGCCGTCATTCTCTTTGCTCTCTTAAATATATTCCTTTTGTTCATCGAGGTCCACTCAATGAATCATACATTTTTTTCAAAATTCACTTTGAAGAGAATCTCTTATTTCTTCTTTCTTCTAACCTCATCGTCGAGAGTTTCATTTGCCACTAAAACTTCATCCAAAATTTGTCTACTAGCAATAAAACTTTGTAAAATTTACTTCAATCAAAGTTATCGGCCTATAATCTTCCTACTAAAAAAGAAATTTGCATCTTTCACCATCCGACTATTAGTATGAAATTCATACATACTTGATAAAGACATCTAAAGATTTCCCAAAATATAAATCCAAAATTAACATGGGCCTTTTTTTAGAGATGATCAAAATCTTGTTAATGCAACATACAAATTTTGTTGTCTTATCCAACCATGAAATTTGGATGCTGCAGATTCACTTTATTTTGATCATCTTAACTTTATGAAGTTTGTAACCAATAATTTGACGCAAATAAAAGATCTCTCTAAAATAATAGAAAACTAGGCTCATGAGGCAGGTAAGATGGAAATGAAGCAAAGAGGACAAACCTTTTTTCAACATAAAGGAATTAGTTTCCAAGAACTATCCATATGATTTATTCAAGTTAATGTGCCTCTTTTACAAGGCAATACAACATAACAATTAATTGAGAGAAGAAAGACTCCAAAATACAGCTAGCTAGCTTATTGCTGAAATGGATACATGGAATTAAGTTTAAAATGGAGACCAAGTTTCATCTCCAATCTAACACTATATATAATGTTATTCAAAAAACAAAAAAGTTGTATTACTCAAGCCTTTGGACTCAAAGACAATGTAATATCTTGAAAAACCTTAAGCCTCCTCTTATCAGATTTTTGAGTCAAAATCCCAGAAGTGGTAGTAGATTCATTGGACCCACTTGAAGGCCCCAAAATAGAAGAAAGAATAGCATCTTCAAAATCCTTAGTATCAGGTAACAAATCATACAACTTATTCTTCTCAAATGAAAGCCTTCTAGCTTTGCTCCCAGGCACAGGCACACCTAATTCTGCAGCATTCACCTTGCTCGTATCATTCACTACTCTCATTGATCCTGCAGCATTTCCAGATCTTGTTCTCTTAAGTGTCTCGGAGAAACTCATATTCTCATTTGACTCCTTCAAAGAGGCTTTTGGTGCTGCATAAAATGGTGGAGCTGCAACATTAAGTGAGTTGTTGTTCACCAAAGGACCAAACTTTGATGTTTGGTTTTTCACAATGTTGGAATTGATGTTTTCATCACCAAATTCATCTTGAACCGTTGTTGCTGTTGTTGCTGTTATTGAAGTTGTTCTCAATGGTGGCAAACTTGTGTGAATATGATCCTTACAAGGCTGAGGTTGCCAAATTGATGAAGAACCAAGAAAAGCTTCAAAGAGCCTACTTTGTTCAATCCTATCAACTCCTCCTTTGTTCATCATTTCGGATTCGAGATCTTTGAGCATTTGTTGTGCTCTTTCATAGGCTTTCAGATGAGAATCTGAACCTCTTGGTCCATCTGTTACTGCAGGTTTGACTCTATGGAGAGTTTCTTTTGCTTCAGAAATTCTTCCCTGTTTCATCAAACATATGCCTAAATTGCACATCTTGTTGTTGTCCGGAGCTAGCGTAAGCGCTCGGCGATAGGCTTCTTCTGCTTCAATGTAGTTGTTCTGTTGCATCAGTGCCCATCCCAAGTTTCCCTTCATTCACCAACAAAATTCAAATATCAAGTTCCATGCTACGGAAGTAAAAAATAATTAAATTGAACAAAATGTAACTAAGAGAGCCGAATCACGGACACCCTGAACACTAGACCCTAAACCCTAAACCCTAAAGTTGAATGAATTGTATATGGATTAAAACAAAATTAAACTGTTGCTTTGCTTACCAACAATCACGGACACCCTGAACACTAGACCCTAAACCCTAAACCCTAAAGTTGAATGAATTGTATATGGATTAAAACAAAATTAAACTGTTGCTTTGCTTACCAACAATCTAGTGGCTTCTTGTTCCACTGAAACTTGAAACTTCTTCCCTTGAGATCTAGCCGTCTTTGTGCGCTTGCCGTTGAAAGCCAACCCTTGTTGGATTAAATACAGCTTGTGCCTCAATAGAGCAATTTGGTCATCAAGTCTACCACATCTCTATGTTCATTAACAAAAAAATTGAATTCAATCCGATGCCAAAATCATATTTACCTTTAAAATAATAATAAAAATTGATATACAACGACTCACCTTGTATAGATCCAAAAGGATATTATCAAGCGATTCTTGTGCTTGATCTGAGCATCTAATTCTAAGTGATTTAATAGCTTCAATGGCTTCTTCAGCCCTATTTTGTTGCTTCATAACAATAGCCATATCCTTCAAAGCACTATCCACTCTATCTCCCGCATTAATCGCCGCCCAAAACAACGGAATCGATCTCTCCGGATCCTTATCCACTAACTAAACATCAAATAAAAAAACCCATTTAGTCAAACACTACAAATCTGAAGAACAAAACAAAACAATACAAATCGTACAAGGAGACTTACCTGAACGTTTTTGGCTCTGACATAAGGAGAATCTCCAACCGGAACCTTATGGGTGATGTGAAAAGATTCGGAACGAGTTCTCGAAACACACAGAGGTTTCGCAGGTGAAGACGGTGCGGATTTGGATGGTCTGAAACCTGGAGGAGCGTTCCACATATCTTGCAACATTGTCGAAAAAATTGCAAGTTATTGGGAAGAACAGATTATGTTCCTGCGGGAACAAAAAATGGACAGTGTTTTGGAGAGATAGCGATAGAATCACGAGAAAGAAAAGTGAGATTTGAAAACAAGGTTTCAGGTTTTTAAATTTACAAAAACTAGCCGTTTGAAATATGTAGCCGTTGGAAATATAATTGGTATGAATTGGGTTTATTATATTACCAAATTTGTCTATAATGGGCTTTTCCTCAAGATTTCTTGATAATGGGCTTTCATCTAGAATACATGTTTGTCTCTTTTTTATGTTTATTTTTTAAAATATTATTTTGGTATCTTAAATTTGAAAAGGTTAAATTGTTTTTTCTTAGATAATAATTAGGTTTCTTATTTAATTTTTTAATTTCAATTTCATCCATTAACTTTTAAAAGTTTAAATTGAAGTCTTTATTTTTTATTATTTTGAAAATGATATCAAATATGTAAAAGTTATAACAATGTGATTTTTGTTTGGTTTTGAAATGGAAGGAGGGATAATAATACTGTTGACAAAGAGAAGTCCATTAATTCGAGAAAACAATCCTAATTTTGTCTGTGCCCTTATATATATATATATATATATATATATATATATATATATATATATATATATATATATATATATATATATATATATATATATATATATATATATATATATATATATATATATATATATATATATATATATATATATATATATATATATATATATATATATATATATATATATATATATATATATATATATATATATATATATATATATATATATATATATATATATATATATATATATATATATATATATATATATATATATATATATATATATAATTCATTTAAATTTTGAGAAAATGAGTGATCCAATGATAATTTAAATTTATTTTTGAAAAATAAATCGTTTTTCCCCGCTCTCTATCCTTCATATTTTGAAAAAAAAATCAAATAAAAATCTATCTTTGAAAAAAAAAAAAACCAAGAGGAAGATTTAAAATGATTTATTTTTGCAAAATCAAACACTATCCAAACCCTATCTTTTATACAAATGAACCATGACGAAGAATTAAAATGATTTATTTTGGCAAATATCTTTTATAGAAATCACTTTTGTAGCAAAGATATCCAAACATAACTCACATTTAATCAAAATCAACTATACCAATCAATTTAATCAAAATCGATTACCATTACCAAAATCATGTACCAATCGACTCGCATACTGCCAATATGATAGAGAGTGTACTTCTTTGCTCGAAAAATCAAAATAACACATAATTTGAATTCCAAGGTCCTAAAAAATGACAAAAATAATGAAAGTTCAAATTGAATTGAATCATCCAAACTTGTTAAAATGGGTATAATCGCCTTATTTTCCCTGATTTTACACATTTAAGTATGAATTCGAGTTAAAGCTTGTATAATCAAATCTAGATAAAATAATAGTTGAACTCAATTTTACTTGAGTTAACATGTAATAAACTACTTATATTAGGACATATCTAACAAAATTTTACTTGGAATCAAGACATGCATTGCCATCTGATTTGAACCAAAGGCGAACCACACTAACCTAATTCTACATCAAATTTCAACAACATTCAAGGCTTATCCTATTAAGTAAACTAGATTACTTTTATCAAACAATGCCACAATACTTCATAAATCATACATCAAACTTGAAATGAAAATAACAGAATATTATAATTTATACCAATACGAGACACAGATGGTGATTGATAATGTAATTCTGCCCGATTTTGTGCCTATTTTTATACCATTATTGCGATGAGTAGCTGCTATCTATCAACAATACATACCATACCACAACCCTAAACAAATAACACAGTCACCATCCACTGTCAGATATCAACTACACTGCCCGAAAACTGTCTGCTTTATCCAGTCTCGCTGTTCCTGAGCTGGATGACTCGCCCATTGTCTCAGGAGATGCGGCGGCATGAGCTGTTTCCCTATTTAGAGAAGTTGGCATACCTGAAATCTCCTGAAAATGATTATAGTAAATATGACAAGTCAGAGAGCATGAATTTGAAGACAGTCCCTTCTTCATCTTCCATATAAAAATGTCACAAGACAAATGAACAAAAGTGGCACTGTTCCTCATGAGAAAATAATAGAACTTTGTTTCACACCTTCATTAAATGTAACCTCAAATCACATGGTCGAGTCCTACTTCCAACCCTTGCAATCACAAATTTTGAATAATTGTCCAAAGTGTTGGCAGCAGCTTCCTTTTTGAAATCTAGCTGAAACCAATTTCAGTTCTTTCACATTAATATCCGGAGAGAATATAAACAATCCCAGATCAAGTAATCAATAACATTGAACTTATTGAAGGAAACAAAAAACTTGTCCTCTCAACAAAACCATAGGTAACTATGAATTTCTCTGAAGTCGTTCCGCATGCTCAAAACCAATTGTTTTTGCCATATGCTCAAGTCAAGGGATAATGTATGAAATGCGACATCAAACAAAACCTCAGTTTTAACATCACAAATACCCTGAATTTCCCAATCTATATTGCCAAAAATGATATCTTTGCATGGAAAACAAACACCAATAAACTCAATAAAAATTCAAAATCAAATCAGGAGCAGAGTTGTCTATGGTGGATGGCGGAAAATAGCGGAGAGCCAAAAATTCGCCATGAAAATATGGCAGATTGCAGAATGGCAGATGGCAGAACGGCAGATGGCGGAAGCATGGAGAACAGGAAATAGAGAATGGAAAAGGTTGCCGTGTGTTTTGATTTTATAACTATGTAATCAGAATTAGTTGTATTTAAAGAGGATCATTAGTATTTGATCAAAGTTTTAATTCTTCTGGGCTTGTTTAAAAAAAACACAATTTCCGCAATGTCTGCCATGAACATTAAACTCACGGTGGCCGCCATGGCACCGCCGCAATGCAAAATCCGCAACACCGCAGCTTTTCCATGGTGCTATGTTGAATTTCCACCATCTCAATCCGCCATGGCTGCAATTTGACAACCCTGATCAGGAGCCAGCAATATCCTCAGTGATTGGCTGCACAAATTTACTGTCACCTACATATATCTTTATATCCCGAGAAAATTAGTCAAAACAATAGGAACACCATAGAGGAAGTTTCCAGTAAACAACGACCATGGCGGATATACATGGCAGTTTTTGAGTTCGCCGGAATGGCAAATATCAGCTAATATTGGGGTTTTTTCTGCCATAATGCGCTATAACGGTGCCACAAAGCGGCTGGGATGGCGGGATTTTGGCTTTCCGCCATCGACAACACTGGGCTCAATATAAGTTGAGGTCTAAGGCGACAAACCCGACAGTAAGTCTTTGGTGCTACTCACATGATAAGGTCTCTGGATAGTCAAGGAAATAGATTCAGAGACTTTGGTACAACTTCTGCAACATGAATAAGTCATCATGTTGGTCAACATTAAAAGATTGTCTAGTCTCAAAGTAGGGTTTCACTACCAGTAATCAGAATCAAGCCCATTAACCTTTTAAGACACATTTCAATCAGCCTCGTTGCTATAAGATGCTGTTTTAGATGCAAGTTTATACTTTAAAAAAAAATACACACTTGGATAATCTATAACTTTTAAGCTGATTAAGGCTTTCTAATCAATAGGACTTTATCAATGCAAAAAATAACGTGAAATCTGAATTATACCTTGTAATTATAATTTATATCTCCCTAATTTAACTCAGCAAAAATAGTGAACTGAATTCATACATAATTCACTATTAATAAACAGAAATACAGTTTGATTCTTTCTATATAAAATCAACAGAATTTGATCACGAACATTAACTAATCCAAATATGTTAAAATACATGACATATACCTAACAAAGTTCAACAATCAGAAACACTACCAATAGCTTAACCTTATGAAGATGCATGAAAAATACACAAATAAAGGGGGGAAATTTCGAGTATTTGGGGTTTGATGATAAATAGAGATGAAAAGGAAGAACCTCTTGATCTTCTTTCATGGCTACTGTGTCGGAAACCACTGCAAAATTGATTTGATCTCCTTTCTTATCCTTCTGATGAGTTTGGTTGAAGAAGACCCTAATGATGATGGTGACGAGACAGAGGACAAACAAGAACCGGTGTAGTTTTATTTTTCGGGGAAATCTATTATTATCTGTCTGTTTTTTTATTATTAGGTGTAAATTACACATTGTGATTTATTTTTATTAATTTCTATCTTAATTTTTAATCTCCCTACAACACTCCTTATTATTTTCCATATCTTATATTGTTTTTCCTATCTTTTGTTTCCATAATTCAAGTGTTTGTAATCGGTTAATACGAAAATATAAGCGGTTACATTAGAAGGAAAAATACTTCTAAGATTTGGAAAATCTAGTTTTACGTTGTGGTAATCGGTTAAGTAATCGATTACAGATGTATTGTATTTGTTTTTGTTGGTTTAGTGATAATCGGTTAACAAAATATGTTAACCGATTACGCGCACAAACTTTTAGTTTTTCTTGTGTTTTAAGATTTTGTTTTAAATCCCAATTGTTAGACATCACTTATATATGCCTTGGAGGCATCTCATCTCATGGTTAATGATAATATTGATTCTCACCCTCAATTACTCTCTCCCTCTCTCTCTAACTCTCTTCTTCTCTCATTATCTTCTCCATAAGCACTAAACCTCCATTGTTCACCAATTGTGTGATTGCATGTTCTAACATTTGACATAAAAAATCTTGGTTCTTATCCATAATCCGCTGTGTAAACATGAATATCGTCTCCAATGATAGAGTTCTCACAAACCTACCAACCTTTAATGTGAAGAACTACGACAAATGATGTAAATAAATGAGAGTTTTGTTTGGCTACCTAGATGTTCTTGAAATGGTAAAGAATGGGGTGAATTCCCTTGTCGAAGGTGTAATTGATGCACAAAAGGCTACACATAAGGAAGAAACAAAGAAAGATTACAAGACATTTTTTATCCATTCTTATGTGGATGATGACAACTTTAAGAAAGTTGGCGATTACGAATTGGCAAAGCAAGCGTGGGAGATCTTGGAAAAGGCTTATGCATATACTGATAAGGCAAAGGTGGTGAGGTTACAAAAGATAACTTGAATTTATTCAAATGGAGAAAAAAGATACAATCAATGATTACGTGACAAGAAACACACGATTGGTGAACCAAATTAAGTCTTGTGGAGAAATTATTTAAGAGAAGAATGTTGTGTCGAAGATCTTGCGTTCTTTGACGGTAAGATTTGACAATATCGTAGTGACAATAAAAGAGTCGAAGCATCTTGTGACAATGGGCAAAGACGAGCTTTAAAGCTCTCTTGAGGCTCGTGACCAAAGGATGGAAGAGAGAAGTAACAATAAGGCAAAGACAGAGATCACTTTTCAAGCATGGTCCAATGAGAAGAACAAAATGTCGAAAGGAAAATGACCCATGAAGAGTAAGGAGACTTTCAGAATTTTGGTGAAAAAGATTCACAAAATTCGAAGAGCTCGGCATGTCAAATGGGTGAGAGCGTCAACAAAAACGGTGGTCAAGACAACTATACCAAGAAATTTGACAAGAGTAAGGCACGCTGCTTTAATTGTCAAAAGCTTGGTCATTTCACAAGAGTTTGCAATACAAAATAGAGGGAACCTCAAGGTGATGAAGCTAAGATTAATAGACAAGAGGTGGATGATAAGAACACGCTCTTGGTGATGATCACTCAAGGAGAATGTAATACCAGTTGGCTTCTGGGTAACAACAACAACAATTAAGGGAACATTGCAGAAATGTTTGCGGAAGAAAACATTATGGTGACTATGAAAGAAGAAGTCTAATATAGTGAAGAATGGTACTTGGATTCTTGTTTTTCCATGCATATAGAGCTGGAAATGAGTCGAGTCGATTTGAACCCACCTCAACTCAGTTTGACTCGTTAGGAATTAGTTCAACTCAAATACCGGGTCGAGTTCGTCACAAACTTTTTTCCAGCTCAAATTCGACTAGTTAAAAGTTCACGAATAACCCGGTTCAACTCGTTAAGTTCATCTCGTTAGGTCCAACTCGTTTGTTTCACAAACTTAAAAATCATTTTTTAACTTTATTTTTTTATTTATTTGACATTTTAAATTAATATATATATTTTAAAATATAGAAATAAGGTAAGTTTGGAATTTATACGATGTCGATTTTATTTGTATAATTATTTTTTGATAGAAAAAGAAAGAGAGCTTTTCATTTTTCATCTAACAAATTTTCATTATTGTGAAAGTTAGTTACAATAGGGAAACTAGTTGCCTTTTATACCATAACCTGTAACCTGCAGTAGCAGGTGAAAAACTAATGACACTTTGACAGGTATGCAGTGGCCCAACCACATATCTATAGAAAAATGAGTTAGAAAGAGCAGCAGACTCAATTTTGGTGAGTTTACAAGTGGACTGCATATGAGTGGAAACAGAAGAGGATTCAAACATACTTTTTCTCTGAAATAAGTCCCTGATATATTTAGATTGAGTTAGAAGAAGAGAGCCATTGTCAGCTTTCTTAACTTTAATACCAAGGAAATAGTCAATATCATCCAGAAACTTAATAGAAAAGGCAACATTGAGTTGAGTCACAATGGTGTTGATTAGAGATTCAGAGTTGATATTGATGATAATATCATCCACATAAACTAAGAGATAAATGGTGTGCCCATTGACTAGGTGAATAAACAAGGAGGGGTCACATTTGTTAGTTCTCTGAGTTTATGATTGACATCAATTTTAGTAAAACAAATATAGCAACAATATGATGAGTTAACTGGGTGAGAAAAACAGGTTGAATAAGAAGTTCTATTTTATGAAGAAACATGTTGAGTTGATATGGTTCATCAACTAAAGCAACATGTCAAACAAAGATATCCTACAATGAAGTATCGACATCCTGGATTGCTACAATAAGTTTCTAAATCTGTTTAAAAGATTTAAGGAGCATTTTTAGCAATGGATAAAGGAAAAGGTTCAACAGAAGATTCAAAGCCCATGGACAACTGAAGTCTATAAAAAGGGAGACTTAGACCTAGGGAAAAGTAACTAAACTGGTGTAACAAATTTAGAAAGAAAAATAAGGGTTTATGGTTTTGAAAGTCATGTACTTTCTTGTGTTGTAAGTTATCCTTTGTATCGTTTTGATACATTGTGGTAAACATAGTTTTTATGCAGATTCAGAAGCCTTTATGTAATGAATCGTGTATTTTTCTTGGATGACTATTTGAAGCATATCTAAGTATGTTTGTTAGTCAAGAGTCTTGACTTAACTTTATTTAAAAGGGATGTATTTCAAGTCGTTTGATGCAGACACCAAAGGTTGTGATTGTTAGATATCACTGAGGTGATTTGGGAAGTGAGATGTTGATTTCTCATATTTAGGGAGAACCTAGGTAGAAGTTGCATTGGGTAGGGATTAGACGAGAAGTTGTAAACAGGGAAATTTAACTTTGAACTAACACTGCTAATAATGGACTTCCTCCATGACTTGGTAGCCTCTAGAGTAGGTGTTATTGTACACCAAACTGGGTCATCATATCTTTGTGTTATTATCATTCTACATTGTTTAGTTTTGTTTCTTGATTAATTGACATGTCGTATAAGATTTTGAAATATCTGTTACGAATTTAGACTGATAAGGTTTGTATTAGTTTTACTGTATTCTATCCATGTCATGTTATGCAGAGATCTCCATCTCAATGTGTTAGGACATTGTTATATGTATACTAGAATTTCAATTGGTATCAGAACAAGCATCCTTTTCTATTCTGGGTGAGATTTAAGGAATATACTTTCTGGTTCAATGGACTTGAAGAAGAAGAGTGTTGGTTGTAGCTACTAATATTACTATGATGTTAGGTGTGAGGAGTTATATCCTCTGCTACATGTGCCTCTGTTGTGTGAACATATGGTGGTCAGATTGATATGGTTCTGATGTTTTGGGTGCTCTCTTAAGAATGAGGTTGAATTATGCATAAATGAGGAAATTATGTCTGATGGTTTTTGGCGAGGATTCTCCTTCTGCATAATATCCTAAAGATGTTCCCGGCGTTCTGTCTGAAGGGTGTTAAGGAGATCTTGATATGTATTCTGCTGAATGTGTATATGATGAGAAACCCCTGATAGTTCCTTGTGTTTCACGTGTTATTGGTATGCCATTAAAGGAAAGAGCTTTTTATTTTGGTCTCCTCAGTAGGTTTTTCCTATGATGATAGGATATGCGGAAGACAACTTTCAACCAGCTGATTAAAGTTACCCAAGATACTCGAGGTTCATCCCAAGTCCACTCATAAAGGCACTTTAGTACGTGGTTGATATATTCAAAAATTCTGATCAATATGTGACAGACAGAAGTCTCCCTAATTCTTGGTCAAATTAGGAAAGTGACTCTAAGTTTTCTATCCCTGGTTAGGCTGCAAGAAGGTCAGTTATTGAAGAACTTGAAGAGAGATGATGTTCTACTGAGATGTTGGAACATCAAACCAACATGGTGTGCAGGATCCTGGTGGACAAAAGAATGGCATGACATATGCCTTGGGTGCTCAACAGATGAGTGGGGTCACCTATGTTTGATATCTTCTGCTGATTTCAAAGAGGGGTCTGAGTTAGGTGTCTAAGTAGGTTCTATCCAAGGAACATATCTTATATAAGTGGGATGGTAATGAGATGATCAACCTTTTGATTTTTTTTGGGTCAGTTCATTTCTGATCCAAGTAAGCAGAAGTATTGAGGATGAGCTCTTATGTCTGGTGGAGAATTATTATTTCAAGCAAGTTTCTTGTATATGGAGGTCAAGTTCAATTGTCAAGGTTCTGATTAAGCTGGAACAAAGGGAGTAATGAGTGTGTGCACTAACCTCAGGCTGTGCTGATATTGAGGAGGGGTCTCTAATATAAAGATTAGAATGCCTTGAAGATATATAAGATATATAAGATATAATGTCATGACATATTTGTGTTGAGACTTTATGTTT